ATTACTGCTTTCTCTAAAGTAGAAGAAACAAATAAATAAAACTGAAAGCTATTAAGTGACAAAATAGGTAAAATTTCTCTGAAATGAAAAAAGTGAAATGGTAAAAATATAGAAGGCATCCAAGCAGAACATTCATGTCATCGAAAGGAGAAAAATACCAGGATGCCACAGGATTTCTTATGGCAATATTCAGTGCTTGGACTTAATAGAGAAATGTGTTCACAAATCTCAGGCAAGGAAGGCATGGACCATTAATAACACTCCCAGAAAAGAATAAAGGCAACAGTCAGACACCTGAAACATGAAATGTTTCAAGGATTAAAAAACCAACTAGCACTATTACAGTTCTTTTAGAATCTATCTAGCAAATTTTCTGGCTTTTCCTAGAAAATCCCCCATGCAGGGAAATAAAACAAATCAAAGCTAACAAACAAAACTAATTAAGAATACCAGGAAAGAAGGAATGATCTGGCTAATGAACTAAGAAATGGAAAATCCATAAGATAAAGAAGACTTGTGATGATGAGTACTGCAGCCATTATATGTAGAATGAAGATCAAAGACCAGAGGCAGTTAAAGTTGCAGAAGAACCAAATGTAAATATTGTGAATTCTGACAAAGTTAAAGTAATATAATTATCAACAAACTGGAAATGAAGAGAAGTGAGGACAAACTGGAGAGGAGCTAATCATCTTCAATTACACTGCAGGGAGTTAACAAAAGCTATCTGAAATTAAAACATGAAGCTAATGCATTCAGCTTCTTAATGGTATTTATAATCTTTTATTCTTAACCATGAAGACAAGTTTTATTTTTAAAAAGTTCTTATGATAAAGAAATATTTAAGTAAGTTCAGCCATTTTCTAATTTATTTTTCATTATTTTTTCTATAAAATTACATATATTAATTACAAACAGTCTTCATGTATCTATATATTTTATTCTTTTATTTGTGCAAATATATAATTATATAACTGTGGTATGTTCATGAAATGTTAACAGTTTTTTCTTTCTGAGTATAAATACTTTACAGTGGTTTGTGTTTTTTTTAAACTTGACTAATTACTGTAAAAGCATACACTTTATCTGCATAAAAAATCTAAATATAATATGATAATGATAACCATGTTAATAAAATGATTATGAAAGCCTTTAGATATCTATGTATATGAATTAGCTTGCACCAAAGAAAGAAACCTAAGCAGAGGAGATTTGCTGTGATACCTAAAAGAAACAGGTAAGGAGGTTAGCCTGTTGTGTAGTCAGGAAAGACATTTTCTGTGCTTGCCTTGCCCCATTGCTTTGTGTCTGAACTCCATAAAGAATAATTGAATATGCAAGCTGCAAAACTGGTGGAACCTAGAACTGGGTTAACATCACAGTGAAATGGACATGATGAGAAAAGCAGAGCCTTATTCAAACCTCTGCTAATACGGCTGTCCTGAGAACTCAAAACTTACTTGCTTAACTTTGGGCTTATCAGAATTTGAATTATCTGGTAGTAATTCCTCTGTCACCATTACCAGTCTGTGATGTAGGAAGCTGGGATCAGTGGCAGTGCTGAGGTACCACCTCAACTAAGAATCCTTGAACAGGAAACAAACAAACAAACCAAGAGGGCTGTTCAGTCCCTCTCAGATAAGAGGTTCTGAAAAACTACATGATGCAAATTTTGCTGGGTAGAAGAAGTTAAATGTATGTAATTTGACCACATTACTACTTTGGACTCATGGATCCCTGGGAAACACACTCCAATTAAGTTTTTTAAAAGTCTGAATACTAGATGTCCTAAATTCCTGATATTTTAAATGTTTTGACCTAAAGTTGGACTAAGGGCCTTGAAAATAGATGCAGAATGTTATCATCAATGCCTTTTATATAAACTAGCCCAAATTATACATCCTTTGATTTGTTCTTGTCTAAATAATATTATATATTTAACTTCACAAATGTTCTATGAGTAATCTTCTCTGAGGATAACATTAATTTTGAAAAATGCCAGATATAGGTGATGGGGAGGAAGGTAGCAAATCACACTGCCATGTGTGTGCCTATGCAACAATCTTGCATGTTCTTCACATGTACCCCCAAACCTAAAATGCGATTAAAATTTTTTTGAAAAATACATTGAATTCTAAGATATATCCTGGATACACTATGTTATGTTTTTCTATTTAGTTTTTTTAATAGACTACTTAGAAAAGGTTAATATTTGAAAAGCATGAAGAAGGGTGTAAATTGCTGAGTCTAATAATATAACTTTAAATGTCTGTAGGTATTTAGTGATGGGGAGAGGGTGGGCGGAGCTTGTAAAGTTGGTCCAGCCCATAGTTGATTAGGTTAGGTGACTAGATGTGTATCAATGGGCAACTACATTTTCTGTCCAATAAATCTCTTTATTATTTTTCCATGTGTAGGACTAAATGCCTGTACAACAAAGCAACTGTAAATAAGAAAATTCTGTATGTCAGAGTGGAATACTAGCTAGATTTAAAGAAGGCAACAGGATGGCATTAATGAGGTTAAACATACACAATCATACACAGAAATCAAAATTCTTGTACCCAGCACTTTTTTTTCTCTCAGCTTCATTGAATCTTCCAAAGTGGCTTTTAAACTTTCTAATAGATTTCCTTACCTTAGAAATATGGGAACTTTGGAATTTTATCATAAAATTGTTGAGTATATGAAAATGCATGAAAAGACTAAAATGTGTAACAGAATGTTTAAAATTAAAACTCTCATTTCTACTTTTGTTACTGAAATGGTTGTGTTCTTCCTTAACCTAAGAGTTAAACACTTTGGTAAGTTTCTACCAAACTCACTTAATAATGAACAAACTAAGGCTAAGAGAAATTGTGGCTACCTTTATGGAAGTAAATAGGCATTATGACATTCATGAACAAGTAAATCATAATGTGAGAGGTGCTTATAAAATATATTTTTCTCTTTATTTTAAATATTTATTTATTTATTTATCCAACTTATATTTTAGCTTCATAAGCTAGTTCAGCCACTGTGGAAAGCAGTCTGGAGATTTCTTACATATTTATTTTTGAAGTGTATGTGCAGAGAATTTTCAAAAAATACATGGGTCCCCTCCTATTTCTGTTCTTGCACCGGATTTCCTGTATGGCTACCAATGTTTCCACCTTTCCCGTGCTTCCTACTTACCGGGAGACAAACAATAGTGAGAGAAGACACAGGAGGACCTGCATCAGGGCTGGGGTGTGAAAGGAAGCACATATTCTTCAGTCAACACAGTAGGTTTTGGAAATGCTTGTGAACATGAAGTTAGCTTTCCCAGGGATGAAAATTAGGAATCGCAACTGGCTATAATGTGAGGGGACTCAACCCTCTATGGTCCATAGGTGGAATCCACACATATCCCTGCTTCTCAAGATAATCCTAATTTGCAACCTGTTTTTATGCTCTCAGAAATGAAGTATTTGGCTGAGAAGATAAATTCTACAACCTGCCTACTGTAGAGGGTTTCACAGTCATTTAAATTGGTTTCCAGCTAGCCACTACAAATGAACCCAAAGGACTTCAGAGGTAAATCATTTTTGCTGACCCTGGACTTGTCAATAGGATGCATTTTCAGAGAAGTTTTGGCCTATGCTTAGACTCACTTTCTTCCTATGGTAAGCAGCTTCTTGATTTCCATGTACAAGTTTTTATTCCTTCATATTTTAAATTATTTAATAGTGCCAAACACAAGAATTCAATAAATAACTGTCAAAGATGGTGACTTTAAATGAAAGTAAGACACTAATATATGTAAGCATGGTTTTGTTTTTTTCTCCTCTTCATAAAACAAAATGAAACAAAATAACTAAACTTTTTATTTTAAATTTAATACTTTTTAAAAGTTTAATTATGTAAGATCAGGTATTCATACATCTGTCTACTGTTTTACTTGTCTGGCAATATCTGGAAACTGAAGTAGTGTCAAAATAAAATTTCTAGTACCAGAATACAGTCAATACAGTACATTAGACAGCTGTATCAGTTTGCATATTTTAAAAGGAAATTTAAGATTGATATAGTTATCCTAATTAAATGTTTTATGAAAAACAATCCTTTGTTCTGTTTTCACTTTGATGCTTAAGGAAAAATAACTTAGATACAAATTATTCAAATTATGGCTCACTATGCAACCTATTTGCTAATCTTCTACATTGATTAAAATAGTAAAACATTATTTTAGTCTAAAATAGACTTTCACATTCAAGAAATAAGTATGACCTTTTTCCAACTTTTATTTAACACACTTTCCATTATTTCTAACTTAATAAACTTATTTCCACAAATATATATCCCTCAGGGAGATGTGTAATAGGTATGAAAAATTCTAGTAAGTTTGTTATAATCCAAGACTATTTACTACCTTCTGAGAGGTAATGTACATAAGCCAAAAAGAACATTAACTAAGCTACAATCTTAATTTTTAGCATGCTTCTAAGAGATAAAACACAGGTAGCACACGTGCACACACATATTTGAAGGATAAATATTCTGGCTTATTTTACATAATGTACATAGAAATACATTTAATTTCTACATTAAAATTCTTTGTCATCTCTTTTAGAAAATGCATGTCTATTAAAGCTGATATGATATATAATATGTTGAATTAAAAGCATTAATTCAAATCAGTGCCTTTTGGGAAAAATTACTTAAGACATATCAAATGCCCCCTTTGGATTTCCTATAACTTTATACTTTAATTTCCAGTGAAAATAGAGAGGCACACTTTATAGCGTAGCAAAAGTAATACTGCAGTTTAGTTCAAAATGGTTTTCTGTTTTGTCGGGTTGAAACTAACCTTCTTCACTAATTTTCAATTATTTTATAATTTTGATTTTTAAACATAGGTATTTAGCTTAAGGAAACTAAACACATGCTGAAGAGATAAGGGGATTCTGTCCTCCTATTTCAAGCTAAAAATATAACCTCTAAATTATCTTTTACAGTAAGCCAAAGCCAGTATCACATACCTTTCGAGAATGAATTTCTTTCACATACAATGGAAGTAGAAACTCAGATATACCTTCAAGTCGGATTCCCTTCTTGGTGACTCTCAGATTTCCCATACCATCCTACAAGCAATGAAATATAGTTCACTTTTAGGTTAATTGGAGAATGAATATCTGCCCATAATTTTCTTAGGCCTAAATTGAGAAAACAGTGAGCTCAAATCAGTGATGATTTAATGAAAATGAGATATTGAATCTACTTAATTAATGATTGCAGCAATTTGCATGCATATAGAGGGCTCTATTTAAAATGAAAAAGAAGATTTAAAGGACTGTGTCTTCTAGCTTTACCAGAGACTAGGATTTGCCCATGAATAAATCTTTTACTTTTTTCATGCATCAGTCAGTTCAACTATTTACTTTGTATGATACTTGCTACCTGACTGTTGGAAAGAACTTTGTTTGCAGAGAAGTCTAGTAATATTTTTATATTACAGTTATACAAATAACTAAAATATTCTGAATCACATTTGTACAATAATTTTCACAAGTAATTAATGATAGTCTGATATTAGTAAGTATTCAAACAATGAGTAGATGTATGTCAGATCCTTTCGAAAATAGCAGTTTATGAGAAAGGTAAAATGGGTACACAAATAATGCTTATGAGACAGAATAACATAACTAAACAGAGTGCTATTGGGAATTAAAGAAAGAGGATTTTATATCTGGCAAATAGTAAACAATTGCTCATGAAAGAGATTGATTACGATAAAGTCATTAAGAATGTGGATTTTCAACAGGGAAGGTCCCTGGAGGCTGGAACAAAATGAACATGCTGGCAACATTTAGGAAATAGCATGCCATCTGATCTTACTAACGTATGAGATTTCTATTTTTGAATATTGGGAGAGAAAGCAATGAGGAGTACATTTTGGGGACAGAGAAAGGAAAGCCATACATACAAAGCAAAGGAGAATGTAATTAAGTCAGATTCCAAGAGAAGACACTTTAAAAGTTCTTATATATTTCAATGGCTTGAAATGACTGGAGGCAGGCTTCAAGATTAATCTGGCAGAAGTACTGTTTAGGGCTGATACAGTATTACTAATATTGCATAACTTGGTAGTAGTTTGAAGAATGTGGTGGAAGAAAAATCTACAGACTTGTTGGCTAATTTTATGTGGAGACACGAAAAGGAAGAATTTTTTTTTCCCATTTATTTATTTTATTGCATTTTAGGTTTGGGGGTACATGTGAAGAACATGCAAGATTGTTGCATATGTACACACGTGGCGGTGTGATTTGCTGCCTTCCTCCCCATCACCTACATCTGGCATCTCTCCCCTTGCTATCTCTCCCCAGCTCCCCACCCCCCACTGTTCCTCCCCTATTTCCCCCCAACTGACCCCAGTGTGTAGTGCTCCCCTCCCTGCGTTCATGTGTTCTCATTGTTCAACACCCGCCTATGAGTGAGAACATGTGGTGTTTGATCTTCTGCTCTTCTGTCATGACTAAGCATGAATAAGAAAATATAATGATTTTAAAAACTGAAATAGTAAAATTTGTAAGCTCAATACCAAAGTAAATTTAGCTTTTCACTTTCTAACATTAAATCATCATGTAAAATTGGTTTATATATATATATATATATATATATAATTATACACATAACAATATATAATTGATCATACATAACCATATGTAATTGATCATATATATCATATATAATCATGTTAATTATGATTATACATAATCATATATTATATATACATGTACACACATATGTATATATGTGTGTATCTGTATATATATGTGTATATATGTACATACACACACACATACATATATATACACACACACATATATATAAACCAGCCCATCTGTAGAAAAGGATGGGGACATGACAATTGAGAAATATCTGAATCTATCATTATTGATAAGCAAGCCCAAGGTGGACAGATTTATATAAAACCAAGCAGAAATTCTTAGGTGATATCAGTGGGTTGGGAAAATATATTTTACATATTCAGGGATGTTGTGATCAGTATAAGAAGTAAGTTGAGGGAATATAATGGCCCAACCCCTCCAAAAAAGAAAGCCATTGAGGTAGTATTATGTAACACAATATTAGCAATAGAAAACATAGAAAAGTTTTGAAGGAGTAAAAATGAATTGGATTTAACTAAAAATTGAAGGACTTTTTAAATTTTTTAAAAATCCAGACTAAAGGATAATGACTACAGAGCAAGAGGAACATTTGGAGGTGGTGAGATTTGGATTGTCCTCTAGAAGGAGAAAATGAGGGATTTGGGTTGAATTAAAATTAGAATGAGAGTGAAGAAATTTGTTCTTTGAGGCAAGTGAAAAAGCTCAAAACTGATGTTGGAAATACCTTACAGGGAACCAATCCAAAATGAATAAATAAATGAATGAATGATTTCATGTGGAATTGAAGAGTTATTTAGATGAGAAAATACATATATTTCTGGCAGGATGATAACACATCCTGGTTTCTCTGAGACAGGGCTGATTTACACCAGTTTTATGGTGTTCTGTTAAATTTTAAAAACTGAAAAGTGGCTCAGATTTATACTTTTAATTACATTACTACCCAATTATTGGCTCTAATAAGTATGGTTTTACAGCACTGTGCTTATCTAAGAACAAAAACAGAATTAACAGTGAGAGAAACTCAAAAGTGAGGATTTGCTATACAGGAATGATAGAAAGTCTTAAAGATGTGGTATTCTTAAAGTGGCAAAAAAAAAAAGATGTTTTCATATGACTAACCATTACTTTTCTCATTGAGTCATGACAAGGAAAGTCAGAAGCTAGGTTGGGTTACCAAAACAATGCAGAGGCAAAAAATGGCAAATGGTGATAAACTAATGATGAAGTTCAATAGATGTTAAGAAATATGGGAATTATAATATGAAGACAGGTTTATCATCAGAAACTGTAATTTTGCATTTGGAGATCTTGAAGTTGAAAGCATTTTCAGACATGATAAGACCTACAGAACACCCCCAGTGGTGGAGGCAAATTTAAGAATACACAGAATTCTCTGGTATTCAGGAAGCTAGGAATATTAATTAGAACTTATAACATGACGTGGGGCTTTAAAACATTATTTTGTCAAAGAGGAAATTTCTCAACTAAATTTCACACAGTGACTGTCCATATTTTTTCTTAAATCCCTGCCAGAAGGAAATGTTCTGAAGTGCTCCCTGTAGAATTGTTACAGAAATATCTAATGTCACTGGAAGATTATCTCAGAGCAATGGAAACAAGTTCTAACACAATTGTAATTCCCATTTCAATATTAATACTAAAAAATGTTCTGATGAGATGATTGGAATTAGAGAACCAAGCACCCACAGTAAAGTGAGATATTTCTCATGATATACACATATTTGATGTTGGAGTTTTCAGTCTTGTGCTTTGTGTGTTTTCTTCTTATATTTTCTATTTAATATATGATTTCAAATATACAATTATATTTCATTTAAATTAGATAAAACAGAATTAGCCTCTGTAAATGTAGAACTGTTCTTATAATATCATGTCATGAATCTAACCACACTTCACTATGTCTATTTGTTTCTCCTTTTATTTTTTCCTGTCTTGTATGAAAAAAATGAATTTTCAAGTTTTTCATCTAGATGAAATTGTAAAATGTATAAAGCTGTATAACATATATAATCAACCTGACCCTCACACTCATACATTAAGTCCAGTAACGATTTATGAGTTGATGAAATCATCTGGTTTTCCTTCTGTAAGTGCATTAGAAATTGAATTTATTTTTACTGTCACTACAGTTTTCTGATTCATTTATTTTCTTGATCCCTTCAACAACTGAAAAAGAGAAAATGATTTTTTGATTTTCTGTTCAGGAAGACATTGTTACCAGAAGGTAACAAACTCAAATGTACTAGACCCAGACCTTGTCTTGGTTCTGCCACCTCCTCCTTTCCTTAAGTGTCAGCCACTTATCACTTTGTGTCTTAATTTTATAATCTGTAAAAGAAATAGTAGCATAATTTATGTGTCTATTTTAAAGATTACATGAGGATGTAGAAAGCTTAAAATAGTGCCTAATTTATGTCAAACTACTCAATAGTTTTAACTATAATTAACATTTTACTTAAAATTTTAGGTTTTGTCATGTATTATAAAAATTCATGTTATTTATTTTCAGAGAAATTATCTTCGAACTTCAGTACAATCTACATCAAACTTCATCGTCATTATAGTTATGATACTCTTGTTCATCATCCTGTAATGTCACACATTGCTATGGTTTGGATGTGTCCCCTCTAAAATTTAGGTGTTGAAACTTAAGGGCCAATGCGATAGTATTAAGAGGTGGAGTCTTTAAGAGGTGATTAGGCCAGGAGTGTTCCTCTTTTATAAATGGAATTAAGGCCTTTATAAAAGAGGTAAATGAGGCTTCATGTGGTGTTTAGACCTCTTGCTCCTCTGCCCTCCCCCAGGTAGGTCACAGCATTCCTTGCCTCTGGAGGGTGCAGCAACAATGTGTCAAATTGGAAGCAGACAGCACCCTTATTCAGAAAACAGAACTTGCTAGTGCCTTGATCTTGGACTTCCCAGCTTCCTAAACTGGAAGAAAGTATTTTCTGGATTTTTCTAAATTACCTAGTCTTAGGTATTTTGTTATAACAGCAAAAACTGACTAGGGCACATGTGATTTATCTAATTTTGACAGACAGTATAGTATCATTTTGGAAGGGGATATGAAATCAGACATTTTGGGTTTGAAACTTGACTTTTATATTTAGTGACTGTTGAGTTTGACATGTTATCTATCTAAACCTAAATGCGTATTTTATAAACATTAGACAAATAACAGTATTCTTCACAGGGATGCTGTATTAATTTAATGAGACATTATGTAAATGAATTAGTTTGGACCGAGTATATTTTTAATAATTATTCCCTTTACTTGTGGGTTATTGAAAATTAATATTTAAAAGTAGATTTAATTAGTATCTAATCAACACATTAAGAAATCAACTTTTCTTATTTTTATTTCTTCTTTTTCATTCCCAACGACACTATGACAGTTCAAGATCACGTTATCTCCAGCTTGGCGATTG